GGAGGCTTAAATATTTTCTCTCATTGGTGGAGAGGAAGAAGAAGGGCGGTGGCGGCGATGATTTCTGGTGAAACCCCATAAAACCTAAGAATTTCGATATGTTTCAGCTCTGCAGTTGCAATTGCAATTGCACCCTCTCCTCTCTCCTCCTCGTTGTCCCTCCCTTTCTTCCTCTCACCTGAACCCCTTGCGAGTCCCCCCCTTCTCTCTCTCTCTCTCTCCTCCCTGGTATGCTTCTTACCGTGTCTCCGATCTTCGTTTTCTGTTTCTGCATCTATTTTTTTTTTTTTTTGATATTGTGTTTTTTTATGTGTATTTTATTAAATTTTTGTTTGTGTTTGGCGGCTGAGAAATGGCGTCTCCACGAAACCTGGAGGATTTTCTGAGTTTTTTTTTTCTCGGCAACCAAACATAGCGTTAGGATTCTTCCAGATTCGATTTATTTGCTTATTTAATTAGGATGATTCTGTTTTTGTGAGTTTTTTTTTTCTTCTCGGCAACTGAACATAGCGTTAGGATTCTTCCAGATTCGATTTATTTGCTTATTTAATTATGATTATTCTGTTTATTGCTGTGGAAATTGGAATTTGTGCGGCTTAGGTTTTTATTGGGTTGAAGAAAATGAATCGGATTATAAGTGTTTAATTTTTGGATTAATTTGAATTGATTCGGCTATAACTGCACAGCTAGGGTTTTATTTTGTTGTTTTTTGATTTGGATTTTTGATGATGATGAATTGGTGATGCAGAACCATGCCGACTTTCACTGCCATAGCTTTAGATAGGTTGTTAGAACCTGGAGCTTCTTCCGAATCCGCTGACATGTCATCTCTTCCGAATTCCAATTCGAAGCCTTTTTCGAGTTCAATGCCGGTTCCTGACTCCAAGCTGGAGAGGAGGAACAGCACCTCCGCTGTGGAGAAGAGGCCAAATCGACCTCCGATTACGCCGGCCCTTTACGCTACTCCGGAGGCCACACCGCTCCCGGATTCGCCTACTTCATTTACTCCCTCGCCTTACATCATCAACCACAAGCGCCGTGGTCCAAGGCTTATGAAGAGTTACTCGGAGCAGGATGTGTCATTGCACCAGAAAGCTGGAGATATGGAGAAGCTCAATGGGGATGTCAACGACGCTGAGGCCAAGGGGGTGAAGCTCAATGGGGATGTCAACAACGCAGAGGCAAAGGTGGCAAATTTGCCTGTGGATGATGTGGATACTTTTACTTTCCCCAAGCCTGTTGAAGTGCATCATTCGAATGGCATCCATCATTTCGAGAGCAGCAATGGGAAGCTTGGGACCAGTAATGGGCAACTTAGAGGCATTAATGTGGAACTAGGTACTAGTAGCGAGCGTGAAGATAGCTTCTATGTGCCTAACAAGAGAAGCAGTAATGTGGAACTGAGTAATGCTTCTGCTAGGGAAGATGATTTGTTGAAGCAACCTGCCATGAGTCCAGGAAGAGATAGTGAATGTGAGGATTTCTTTGATCCAAAAGACTCCATGAGTGTCGCAAGTTACAACACGGATGGAGAGGGAAGTGTTTGGGCTGAGCGTTCTCCACAGACCAGTACACCCACGGGGGAATTTTATGATGCTTGGGATGGTATGTAGCTTGGTTTTTTGGTTAAATTTATTTCCTTTCATTTGCTTATTTGTTTTTCTTGAATATGCTTTGTCCATATATCCGTGAATTAATTGAGCACCATGATTGAAGATTGGAATATGCTGATTTTTCCCTAGTTTGGTATCTTTACATAGAATATGGTGTATATTTCTTTTCCCTTCTATACATGAAGGGATGTGCAATTTGGCGGGATCATATGTTTTCAGCTCTTACGTGAATTTTGATTTGTTTTGAGCATGTCGACTGTAACTCTACGTTTGTAATTACTCATGTTAGATAACTTGACTCATTCGTTTAACTCTGTCTTGTTTTGGTTGACATGCATATCTCATGAATTAGAAACTCAGTAGCCGGATGTTTTCATTTTGAACCAAACTCATTTCTTATGTCTTCATAAAGTAAAAACCACCTGATCCGAGTACTAGCAGAACTTACCTGTTGTGTTCGATACTTGTGTTGATAAGTTTTGTTATTTTTCGATTCATATCAAGTAATAGTTTACTCTTAACTCATCCTACCCTATGCTATAGTTAATCCTAATTTGTTTTTTCGTTTGGGCGCTACTTGTGTTACTGTGTCAATATGTCATTTTGAAAGTTTCTGTTCATTTTCATATTGGGTTTGCGGTGTGTCATAGTGTTGCTCAAAATTGACATCCCCGTCTTTCTATGACATAGAAAAGGTTCATTATTTATGAGATTGGTATTAAATCGCTAATTATGATTAAAGGTACAAACATGCTGGTTCTCTATAGATACCCTAGTCTGTGAATTATTGAAATGGCATTTAAATCAAAACATTCTATGCATGTCTTCTTTGTGTGTTTTTGAGATTAAAAGAACACTTGATTTCTCCAGTTCAGAAGTTTGGTTTCAATTTATGACAAGATTTCAAGATTTGGATGCTTAATCTTTGAATGTCTGTAATCCACCTTGTTCAATTTAAAAGCACTACAGTTATAAAATTTTGGCAGTATTGACCAACTTACTTTTTTTGTTACTCTGCGCAGAACTTTCATCTGAGAGCGGGCATGGGCAGCAGCTTTCTGTTTCTGACCTTGACGTTGAATTGCGTGAAATGAGATTGAGCCTTATAATGGAGATGGAGAAGCGGAAGCAAGCAGAAGAATCCATGAATAACATGCAAAGGCAGTGGCAGAGGATTAGGGAACAGTTATCTCTTGTAGGATTGACACTCCCTGAAGATCCTGCTGCTGCAAGTGGTCCTGAGCAACTAGGTTCTGATCCTGCAGAAGATCTGTGCCAACAAGTTTATCTTGCTAGGTTTGTATCAAATTCTATTGGGAGGGGATTGATAAGGGCTGAGATGGAGTTGGAGATGGAAGCTCAGATCGAGTCAAAGAATTTTGAAATTGCTCGGTTGATGGACAAACTCCGTAACTATGAGGCAATGAATCAGGAAATGGTTCAGAGGAATCAGGACGTTCTCGGTGAGACTTCTATACCTTTTGCCTCTTGTTTATTTCTTGATTCCTAAGGCTCGAGGTATTATATTATTTGTTAAATCAAAAGCATTTTCGATGCCCACCTCAGTTGAACTATGTCTTCTTCCCCACGTTTAGCCAGTAACCTGTATGAGGTTTGAACATATGTCACCCTCCTAATGTGCATCATTTGGGCCTTTGATCTACCTCGCGTTATTAGCTCACCTAAGTTTTACTTTTTGGTTTCGTGTAGAGATGGCACGGCGCGACAGGGAGAGAAGGGAAAGAAGACAAAGATGGGTATGGGGCTCGATTGCTACTGCCTTAACACTGGGTACCGCAGCCTTGGCGTACTCTTATATCCCGTCTAGCAGGGGATCGCCAACCTTCGAGTCCGAGGTTCCTGAGAGTAGCGATGCAGGCAAATGATAATCACTTTACTTTGCAACCGTGACTCTATGCCGTAGAACAGAAGGAGAAAATAAAAGGTCTTCTACTATGCCACATCCTTTGTGGATAACATTCTCTTGCTCTTTTATCAGTTAGATTTTCCTATGATCTGAGGATGTACAGTTCTACAGAAAATAATTAAAGTTTTGCCCGTCACTGGCATATCGGAATGTTTATAGTCCTCGTTTGAAGTCATAAAGTTTGAGCTTCGGGTTGTCTCGAAGCGTTTATACACAATTGTATGCCCGTTAAAGTATTCGTCTGATTTAATGATTTTTGAGTAGTGTAAGGTGGTTTGAAAATTCGCAACACCCCGCGCCCATCGGGGATCAGTTTTCCGGTGCCCTAAACCCTAAACCCCTAAGACTTGCAGTTTGGTTTGGCGATATTCGATTCTGTTTTTGCAATTTCATTTAAATTTAGCTGGGTTTCAATTCCTCATTCGCATTCGTCACTTGGGTTAATCCTAGTGACCCGATGGCCGATCTATTAGGCTTTTCGTTTGGCCCCATGGAAAGGAAAGTTGTAAAGAATTTTTTTTTATTTCTTACATGTAAGGAGTCATTTTTTCTTTGAAAAAAAAAAAAAAAAAACAATGTGTGGGTATTATGACTTCGTTTTTTCTTGGTTTTTTTTTCGAGGTTAATGGTGGTATTGTGGTTTTAATTATATATTTTGGACAGTTCTGAGATTTGCAGTGAACAAATACTAAGGGGCAAGGAGCGAGGCATTCTAGCAGATGTGGTTAGACCATTAGCTAAGAAAAGCATGCTCGTACTCAGTGGTGGATCTAGGCCAATCGTGTTTTGTTGTTTTAATTAAATAATTTTCGTTTTTTTTCATCGAAAAATTTAGCCGAGCACTTGCAGAGCATTTCGTTATCTTCCTAGTTCTATTGACAAGTTCGAAGGTGTGATGCCAAGCTTTACCTACCAAGGCGTGCTGCTAAAGCTTTGTCCTGAGGGCTGTTGAGTAAGTGCCAAAGCCTGTTGAATACTGTCTAAGAGGCATTTCATCGAACAGTTTGTAGGCATACTCAGGTCCCATACCAGATAATCATACAGAATTCCGTCGATCTTCTGGAACTAAAGTTGACCCCTTGGATCCGCCCTATATAGAGGTGCAACTCGGGCAGGTTGAAAGATCAACCCAATCCTAACCTAACTCTTACAATTCGGGCACGGGGTCAGATTGAGTTTCATTCGGATTAATTTGGGCTCAAGTTTAATTGGGTTAGGATTTACTTAAGTTGGGTTCGGTTTGCCCAATTTTTTCAAATTTAATCTTGTAACAACTTAGTTTTCAATAATTCCTAAAAAAATTAAGCCAAGTAGCATCAAAGCTAGCTAACTTTAATTTCATAAATCTACTAAAGTTTTAGGATTTAAAGATTACGAATATGGGCTGACTAATCAAAACCTCTTATTCCCTCAAAGCTTAAGTAATTTTTAAGGGTAATTTATTAAAAAAAATATTAGAAATGACGTTGGTTTTTGGACTTGGCTCACTTGGGTGTGTTAGAGCATTAATTGATATGCATTACAATTTGGTTAGATTGAATTTGGTTAGTCAGGTTGAGTTGGAGATGAACGGACAAATAATCAACTCAACTTAACCCAATTAATGAACGGGTTGAAATTGGGTAGGGTTTGAACGGGCTATAACTAAAAAAAAAAAAAAAAAAAAAAAAACCACTTGTTCAGATTTAATGTCAAATTGGACATGTACGGGTTTAGATTGGTCCAACTCAAGTTGACTCCTACTCTTATACTCGAGTTTAAATTTCCCTCTCTCTATATTAAAATGATATACAATTCCATCTTGTAAACAAAAAAGATAAATTGAGCTAGAAATTCAAATGGTGAGGGGTAATTTGAATACAACGATAACGTGAATATAGCTCCCAAATAAAAAGGTACAAAAACAAAGGGCAAATAATAAACGACGCCGTCTCAGTGGTTTATCCGCTGGTAAGATAAAACAGAGGGAAAGAGTGTCATCAGGTACTCTGGATCTCCGACAATGGAGCTACCTCTGCACATGTCAGCAATTCTTCCCAGAGAAAACTCCCCCACCCATTACCGCCATTCCACCTTCTTCACAACCCAAAACCACAACACTTCTCTCTTCCCCCATTTCTCCAAATACTCACAATTCCAGGCAAAAAATAGAAGAAATTGGACCCCCAAAACTTGTATTAGCCGCTACAAATCAGCGTCTCAGGATCACCGAACAAGAACAGTCCCAGGAGGAAGAGGAAGAAGAAGAAGAGGAAGAAGATGCAGGGGAGGAGGATGAGGAAGAAGAAGAGTACGATTATTCGGAGGACGAGTCTTCTTTGCTGTCTCTGAGTGAGAAGCCTGACAGAAACATGGCTTTGCTCGATGAGTACGAGATGGAGGAGCACGAGTACGCCGCCGATCCAAATCATCGGAGCGGTAAAATTTGATAAAATCTCTTCTGGGTTTCGTTTAATTTTAGCTGAGGAATTTTGGGTGTTATAAAGTGTTGGAGTTGTGGGTTTGATTGAGTTAAAAATGCAGGGTATGTGGCTGTGCTGGGGAAGCCGAATGTGGGAAAGAGTACACTTTCGAATCAAATGGTTGGTCAGAAGTTGTCCATTGTTACTGATAAACCTCACACTACCCGGCATCGAATTCTCGGTGTATGTTCTGGCACAGACTATCAGGTTTGTTCTTAGCTGATGTTGTTGTTGGTTTTGTTTCAGTTGTTTATATGTATATGTTTTGAAATCTCATTGAAACCGGTGGGAAATGTTGTGATTCATATATTGTTATAACAATGGTATAGTTCGATTACTTGATATACAAGGAAATATAAAGGAAATGTTACTACGGTGAAGTTTCTAAGGTTCGGGAATAAGAGCCGACTAATATCTTGTTTTGGACACAAGTAATACTTTATTGACGGTTTCTGAAGTTCTGGTGATGCATATGGGTTTGACATAAGGATTTGTATGCAGATGATACTTTATGACACACCGGGTGTTATGGAGAAGAGAATGCACAAGTTGGATTCTATGATGATGAAGAATGTCCGGAGTGCTACAGTTAATGCAGACTGTGTAGTTGTTCTTGTTGATGCATGTAAAGTGCCTGAAAAAGTATGCTTCTTTATTTGTAGGATTGCATATGAAACTCTGTCCTCTTGTCCTTAGATCATTTTCTCGTTTCTAGATTGATGAAGTGTTGGAAGAAGGTGTGGGTAACCAGACGGAAAGCTTGCCGCCCATTTTGCTGGTTATGAATAAGAAGGATTTGATTAAACCTGGTGAAATTGCAAAGAAACTAGAGGTCAGCATTTGTTTACGCGTATAACTACACATGTAATTTCCGGATCTTGTTGTCTAAGCTACTTGTTTTGATCCTAAATAAGAATTACATCTTTTACAGTGGTATGAGAAATTTACAAACGTTGACGAGGTCATACCTGTGAGTGCCAAACTTGGACAGGGAGTGGAAGATGTCAAGCATTGGATTTTATCAAAACTTCCTTTTGGGCCAGCATATTATCCGAAGGTACTTGGAATTTCATGTTATAGGCTCATGATTACCCTCCCTTTCTTTGAAACTAAAGACCTTAATGGTGTTCCTGTTTCATGTCCGTGAATGTTCTATTCTCGCCTTATCCCAACCATTAGGATTCATGTGCAGAATTGCACGGTAGTAATAAATGTCATAAGACTTTCTACAATCAGACCTCACATTCTAAGGGCACATAGAATCCTAAAAGAAAATAGCTTCTGTTGTAGGTTTTCTGGCATTGGATTCACAATGCTTTCCATCCTAAAGAGAAAACTGCATCGGTGTAGAACTTTTGAAAGTTAGTTCCCCTTAAGCAGTAGTAAAAATTTGTCTTCCGTATTCTTATTCAAAGTGTAAATTTATACCTCTCAAGAATATCCAAAAGTGTTATTTTCATGTATGGATAACATATCTTTATTCTCTATGAGTTCTTAGGACATTGTCAGTGAGCACCCAGAAAGATTCTTTGTATCTGAAATTGTTCGAGAAAAGATCTTTATGCAATACCGTAAAGAGATTCCTTATTCATGTCAGGTAAGTAGTTTAGAAGCTCAAAAGATTTGGCTTGTGAGGAATGGTACCCCATCCCTAGAGAGAAGCAGAAAGAAGAAGATAATATTCCTAGTTGTTTTTCTCCAGGTGAATGTCGTGAGCTACAAAACTAGGCCAATGGCAAAAGATTTTATACAAGTGGAAATTGTCGTTGAAAAAAACTCACAGAAGATCATTGTTATTGGAAAAGTAAGTAATCTTCAGTTGCATATTTTGTATGCTTCATGCAAACTATATCGAAATTTATGTATCTTCTTGATCAAAGGTTTAATTTGATATGGTGCATAAAGGCATGTATCACAAAAAGCTACAGAGCTTTCATGTGTGATCACTGTCGGAAGAGATAGCTCGATCGCTGATTTTATATCCTGAGTCATTTTGTAGGAAGGGAGAGCTCTGAAACTACTTGCAACTGCTGCTCGACTCAACATAGAAAACTTTTTGCAGAAGAAAGTTTTTCTAGAGGTACCAAGTTATACTATGACCGATACTGTGCACAAACTATGTCAAATTGTTTTAATTGGCCATTGTCCTGCGCTTAATGCATTCTGTGGGTAGTTCGGCTGCAGCATTATCTCCTCACTTTTACTTCGTTTGTCACTTCTTATATAGAAGATATCCACCTTACAGGACTATATTCATGCTTTAAACAGGTTGTAGTGAAGGTTAAAGAGAATTGGCGGCAAGACGAAGTTCTTCTGAAGAATTATGGCTATGGGGGTCAAATTCAAGCATTTTGATGTTGTGGCCTCTACAACCAGTCCGTATCCATTGGAGAACACAAGCGAGGATGACCGTATCATTTAGGCTACACGAGTGCTGTCTTTGAGATGGTTTTGATGTCGTTGATTAACATAGATACCTCCCGTTTCTTTTTGTTAGCTGGATGGTATAATTGTGATCTCACTGGGAAGATATTCTCAAGCATTCTTCTAAGAGTTAGCAATGGCATTTTCCCAAAGCCAAAGGTTCTGTTACTTGTAGAACCCCCTTCTCTATCTCTCTCTCTCTCTCTCTCTCTCTCTCTCTCTCTCTCTCTCTCTCTCTCTCTCAAACACACACACACACACACACACAAGCCCATCAGAAATGTTGAAGCCCACTTATTCCGTAAGCTCCCGGCCATTGTCGTGTATTCCGATTCAATAGTATAATGTTAAACCTACACTCCACCACTTACGTCAGTGTCATCCCAGAAGTGGAATCCAGATTCTCGCCGGATTCTCTTTGTGAGGATTCTGGGGATTCGTGAATTGTATCCATTCATCGTACATTGTGCGGTTAGAAATCAATAAAATATTTAAAATTAAACACAAACCGTACTAGACAAAAACTGATTTTACGATGTACGATGAACGGATACGATTCACGAATTCCTAGAATCCTCACTAAAAGAATCCGGAGAGGATCCTGTTGGCTAGAAGTGTAGGTAAGTTTCCCATAACGTGGGATGTTTGAAGCAGGTGAATGATGATGGGTATCGTCGCTTTCAATGATGACCAGACATGGCTTCGGCATGCCTTGTGGCACCATCATGTCAAAATCCTACCCTTTAAACCACAAATGGAGTGGGGATAATTCTCCTCACATGGGCTGAAATGACGCGTCAAGTTCAACTATGTTAATGCGCGTGGTGGGTAGATAGGACACATTAAAAGTTAAAAACTTAAAATGGAAAATATGCTTGAATAATGACGGTTCCAACATTTCATAAAAAATGAAAATGGAACACTCAAGAGATAGTGAGTCATATATAAACCACGAATTGGTGCCTTTATAGTCTGTTTAATGTCTCTCTAGTTATTGTTATCAAGAATTTATAACCGGTTGAAAATATGCTTGAACAACGACGGTTCCAAACTTTCATAAAAAACAGAAATGGAAAGACACTGAACAGATAGTAAGTCATATATAAACCACGCACTGGTGCCTTTATGGTCTAATTAATGTCTCTTTAAAGGTGATAGCTTGGCATCTCATTATTCATGACATGGTGTCACGGGCTCTATCAAATAAATGTGGCCATAATATTTTCTGCACTGTTGGTGCAAGGCACAGGTAGCTGAGTGTCCATAGGACCAAATTTATTTTGTGGATGATAACAATTTACATGATGTTGGTAAATGTCAGTGGCGTCTTGTACTTATGAAACAAGAATGTATAGAACAAAATTTATGCATTTCTTTAATTCATTGACACGAAACATCAATATAACAGTGTACTCGTGACATATAAATTATTCGTCGTGTATATATCTTAAAATAAGTGAGTGACTTTTCGCAAAAGCTCCTACTCAAAGAATTTGTCATTGATTTTAGTAGGTCCTCTGTTGTGTCGGTCACTAGTTTCTCTTTTTCTCTATTTATTTGCAATTGTATCATAACAAACAAATCCACCTCCACCTCCACCTCCACCTCCACCTCCAAGCTCTTTATCCAACTGCAAACATTTCATCCACACTTGGAGAAGATGAAGCATCCATCTTTTGCTCTTCTTTTAGCAATTTTAATCCACCAGCAGTGTTTTATTACGCCAATCCATGTTTCAGCAGCAGGTGATAATTTCATCAGAGTGAGGGGAGTGCATTTTCTTCTCAACGGCAGCCCTTACTATGCAAACGGCTTCAATGGCTACTGGCTCATGTACGTGGCTTCCGACCTGTCTCAGAGGCACAAAGTCTCTTCTGTTTTCAGTGAAGCAACTAGCCACGGGCTCACCGTGGCTCGAACTTGGGCTTTCAGTGATGGAGGTTACAGGCCTCTTCAGCTCTCCCCTGGCTCATACAATGAGCAAATGTTTAAGGTTCCCCATCTCATACTTCTTCTGCTTTACTCTTTGTTTATCTTATTCGTCACACTGCCTAGGATTGGATTGTATTGGATTGGATAAGTCACTGAATTAGGCTTCGTTTGTTCTTTACAATTGGGTTGGAATGGATAATGCGCTTTTATTGAAGTATGAATATAGTGAGTTATCACTCATAGTGACCAAACAAGGCCTCAGAGTACCTTGAAGTAAGAAATGAAGGCCAAAGTTTGTCCCAAACGAAGGAATTGGATTAAACTATAAGGTGTTGATCCTACCATTTTGTGGGGGTTGGATGGGATAAGTTTCATTCATGAGTGATCTGTCTCTTCCTTCAACTCGTACAAACTTTGGAAGTTGGCCTCTATTTCTTCCTTCAACGTACTTTCAATCTGTTGAGTTATCTAAATCCAATCCAATCCCAGGAACAAGTGCAGAATATTAAAAAAACATGCAGTTATGGGGACTTTCGTAAATGTTTTCGTTTGGATTTTGATTTTGAAGGGGTTGGATTTTGTTATAGCTGAGGCCAGAAGATATGGGATTAAGCTGATATTAAGCTTGGTGAACAACTATGAGAGCTTTGGAGGAAGAAAGCAGTATGTGAATTGGGCAAGAAGTAAAGGGCAGTACCTCGCATCTGATGACGATTTCTTCAGGAACCCGGTTGTGAAGGGTTACTACAAGAACCATGTAACCGTAAGTGAAAGCAATAAGTGCTCGTTTGGTGCCTAAGATTGGATTGGATAACTCATAAAATCCATCATATGTTGAAGATATGAGTTACTCAAAGTACATTGAATATAGTGTATTTTCCAATCCAAATCCAATCCTAGGCACCAAGTGAGCTTTAGTCTGCGAGGAGCCTTTTCTGTTTATAAATATGCATGATCTTCATTTCTAATTTAGATCAATTTTTTTGCAGACTGTTCTTAACAGATATAACAGCTACACTGGAGTTCATTACAAAGATGACCCAACAATTTTGGCCTGGGAACTTATTAATGAACCTAGATGCACATCAGATCCTTCAGGAAGGACTATTCAGGTTAAAAAACAATATCTTAATTATCTAATATAATCTTTCATATCAATATTAGATAGACCAACGTGGGGTCGGGTGAGAATAAAGGACAAGAAATTCCATGCTTTTGTTAGAACTACCATATAGATGACGTGATCCAGATGCCCCTACTCAAGTTTTTCTCCTTGTAAATCAGCATAAATGCCAGAAATAGCGAAGTATGGATGGCTAAACTGCGAATTGCCAATTGCAGCTACCATTTTTATATGTTGCATTGCTAATTAAAGATGGATTTTCTTTTGATGTCAGATTTTTACTAATTGGTGTTCATATTAATAGGCATGGATAATGGAAATGGCTTCACACGTGAAGTCAATAGACAGAAACCACTTACTGGAAGCTGGTCTAGAGGGATTTTATGGACAAGCAATACCACATAGGATGAGTCTCAATCCTCCCTTCAATATCGGAACAGACTTTATCGCGAATAATCGGATTCCTGGCATTGATTTTGCAACAGTTCACTCGTATCCTGATCAATGGTAAATATGTTTAACTTGCAGGATCACATCTTTGGTGTACTTATATTGGTTTTTGCTTGAGCAGGTTGTCTAGCTCAAATGATCAAACTCAGCTCACTTTCTTGAACAACTGGCTCAACACCCACATCCAAGATGCGCAGAACATTCTCCGAAAGCCAATATTCATCGCAGAGTTTGGGAAATCTTGGAAAGATCCTGGTTTGAGCACCTACCAAAGAGACCTGCTCTTCAACACGGTGTACTCCAAGATATACTTTTCGGCAAAAAGAGGAGGAGCAGCTGCCGGGGGACTATTCTGGCAGCTCCTCACCGAAGGCATGGACTCTTTCCGTGATGGATACGACATAGTTCTGAGTCAGAATCCCTCAACAGAAAATGTGATTGCTCAACAGTCTCACAAGCTCAACCAGATTCGGAAGATTTTTGCGCGGAGAAGAAATGCTTGGATGTGGAGGAGGGCAAGGGCCATTAGAAGGGCTGAATGGTTGGGTAAACACAAAGGCAAACCTATTGGAAATTGATCAAATGCATTACCCTTGTGAGGTTTGCTGTTTAGGGTTTCCTCTCTTAGAGATGATTCGGATGAAACGTTTTTTGTCCAGGAAGGAAACTTGTGTTACACGTATAGTAGACTGCGCTTTTCTTTGCCCTACATGTCTCGAACTCGATGTCTCGTACTTATGTTGTCAAAGTGTGGAGTGAGTTTTTCAGGAAGTTTTCTGGTTTGTAGAAAACCAGATAGCTTCGGGAGTGAAACATGTTTAAACCTCTTAAGGCATGTAACATATTGCTTCGGGGTATTATTAATCTACTCATATTATAATATGACAAATTTATTTATTAAGATTATAATGTCATATCAATCATATCGTCTACTCATATTATAATATGTGAATTGTCACACTTCAAAGTTTCTTTATGCTATAATTATAATTATTTTTTCTTCTTTTATTCAACTAGCGCCGTCCATGGGACACATGGGATGTGAACTCATGACCTCTTCAAACACGATAAATTTTTTTGATTGATCATAAAACCGTCACATGGTGGTCACCTATATTATGACAATACAACATCTGTTTTATTTTTTGATACTAAATATATTATGAATGATTATTATAACACGTAAATTAATAATATTACGTGTATTTGTTATGCCTCAAAGAGTATTTGTGATTGAGATTGAGATTGAGTTGAGCCCATATCCATTAGGCAAAATACCCAGAAAAATGTTGCGCGCGTCTATCTTGTAGGCGGCCAACGATTCTCATGGTCGGTCAACAAAACAGAACATGATTTTATCAATTAGACCTCATATTCGACGAATATTTACAGCTTCAGCCTTTGCCCATACGGAATGCAGAAACCCTCTTCTTCCAGAGAAAAAACCAGACCATCTAGAGCAGAAAGCCCAATTGGGTAATGACGTAGATATGATTGAACTCAACGCTCAGTTGAAGCAGCTGGTTAAAGCAGGTAAAGTTGGAGACGCCCGGAACATGTTCGATAAAATGCCTCAGAGAGATGAGATTTCGTGGACCAGTATGATTTCAGGCTACGTTGGTGTCTCTGATGCCTCTGAGGCATTGGTTTTGTTTTCGCACATGTGGGTTCAGCCTGGAATTTGCATGGACCCCTTTGTTCTTAGTGTTGTACTAAAGGCTTGTGGACTTGGTTTGAACTTGTCTTATGGGGAAGTAATACATGGGTACTCGATAAAATCGTGTTTTGTCAATTCGGTCTTCGTGGGCAGTGCGCTTCTCGACATGTATATGAAGATTGGTAAGATTGAGCAGGGATGTAGGGTTTTTGATGAAATGCCGATAAGAAATGTGGTGTCTTGGACTACTGTTATAACCGGGCTTGTTCGTGCCGGTTACAATGCAGAGGGGTTGGAGTATTTTTCTGAAATGTGGAGGTCGAAGGTGCAGTATGACGCGTATGTGTTTGCTATCTCGTTGAAGGCGTGTGCTGATTTGAGGGCTTTGAAATATGGGAGAGCGATTCACACGCAAACAATGAAGAAGGGGTTCGATGAGAGCTCATTTGTGACGAACTCTCTTGCCACCATGTACAACAAATGTGGCAAATTAGACTACGGGTTGCAGTTGTTTGAAAAAATGAGGATACAGGATGTTGTTTCATGGACATCAATCATTACAACATACCTCTGGACGGGTCAAGAGGACCGTGCAATCAAAGTGTTTATAAGAATGCAAGAAGCCGGTGTGAGTCCTAATGAATACACTTTTGCAGGCGTTATCTCTGGAGTTGCCAGTCTTGCTAGAGTTGAATGGGGTGAACAATTGCATGCCCACGTTTTACACAGGGGTTTTATCTCTTCGTTGTCGGTGGGAAATTCCGTTGTGACCATGTATGCCAAATGTGGGCGTTTGGCTTCAGGTTCTAAGGTGTTTCATGAGATGAGCAGAAAAGATATTGTTTCATGGAGCGCTGTAATTGTTGGGTATTCTCAAGGAGGTTATGGGGAAGAAGCTTTTCAGTATTTGTCATGGATGAGAAGGGATGGACCAAAACCAAATGAGTTTGCTCTTGCTAGTGTATTGAGTGTTTGTGGAAGTATGGCAATGCTTGAGCAAGGGAAGCAACTGCACGCTCATGTTGTGTCTGTCGGTTTAGAGTTTTCATCTATGGTACAAAGTGCTCTAGTGAATATGTATTCGAAATGTGGAAGTATAAAAGAAGCTGCAAGGATCTTTGATGTGACAGAACTTGATGATATTATTTCCTGGACGGCGATGATTAATGGATATGCTGAACATGGGTACTACCGAGAAGCCATTGATCTGTTTGAGAAGATTCCTAGGGTTGGTCTGAAACCAGACTCGGTGACCTTCATTGGTGTTCTTGTTGCTTGTTGCCATGCTGGATTGGTTGATCTTGGTTTCCGCTACTTCAATTCAATGAAAAATGACTTTGGGAGTAATCCTGCAAAAGAACACTACGGCTGCATGATTGATCTCCTCTGTCGAGCTGGACGGTTAAGTGAGGCAGAGCATATGATCAAATGTATGCCATTTCAACAGGATGATGTTGTTTGGTCTATTCTCCTTAGAGCTTGTAGGCTCCATGGTGATGTCGACTGTGGAAGACGTGCTGCAGATGAGATCCTTAAATTGGATCCGAATTGTGCAGTGACTCACATAACCCTGGCTAACATGTATGCTGCTAGAGGAAAATGGAGGGAAGCAGCAGAAGTAAGGAAAATGATGAGATCAAAGGGGGTAATTAAGGAGCCGGGATGGTCTTGGATAAAGGTCAGGGATCGACTTTCTGCATTTGTTGCCGGAGATCGGTCTCATCCACAAGTTGATGATATATACAGTGTACTGGAATTACTAGCTTCAAAGGCAGAAGATACTTTTCAGGAAATTGGTTCTTCATTAATGGACACTGAAGATTAGTATTTAATCCATTGAAACTTAAAGCTAATCTCTCCGATTTGATGGAGTTACGTTCAATTCCTTGCAAAAGTCCAGTTTATATTATGTGGAGAGTTTCTCAAGGCATAGTTATGTAGTAAAGAACCATATGGAACCAGATGAAATTGCTTCCTTAGCTGTGGCTCGAGGATTGGAAATCACAGGAAAATCTGGATCCAGGGTCACGTTAAAAGGTCAAGCATTATCGAAGGCATGGAAACTCTCGAACTGTCTCATCTGCGAAATTGCATGCTTCAGTAGAGGTTTCGGCTTTGTCAACATCAGAGGGCTAACTGATACCACCAGATCTTCATATTCAGATGATTAGCACTTATTTTTGCAAAACTATGCTTGCTTGCAATTTGATATTCACTCGAGAAAGTTTTCCAGAAAAGTCTGCTGCATCAATATAATTCAAAGGGTGCTGCATGCTGGGTTCAAGAAGTCCGGATTGCATGTAAGTTTTTCTCCTATACAGTTAGCTGTCGAAACAAGAAGATATTGTTTGAATCATTTTGTCACTCATTCATACGCTTTTTCAATTTACATGGTTTTTCACCTTTCATCCCTGAGCCCCAAGCCCTAAGCCCTAAACCAATTACGAATTACATGCACAAGAAATCCTAGGCAAAATCCAGCAGCCCCCAAAACTACAACTATTTGAACCCATAAAGTGGTAACAAACGCTTTCTGCACAAAAGCATTCCATGACCAGAACCAAAAGATGGAGAAAATGGTTCCGAACGCAGCACCCACAATGACTTGGCTAAGCGTATGAAGCTTTTGCGAGACTCGTAACCATGTCTGCAAAAACGAATAGTAAAGATATACATAAGCAATCTGAAGGCATATCGTTGGTTGTTAATTTTTTGCATTTGCAGCGTCTATTGAGATTGCGAGCTTTACCACCACATTACACGCCATTGGATGAATTCAATTTCTAAGATTTGTGTACCGGTTGATTAAATCAAACTCATCCAGTGACGCATAATATGGTCGTAATGCTCAACCCCAATTAAGGGTGGTTAGCAAATTTGTGATGTTTTGAGTAGGGGATCAACTAAAGAACTTGAACACTCTCAAATATGTAGCCAAGCTTCAAAGCATTATTTAACTGAATGCAGAACAGGATTGAGTACTTACAAAATATGTACCAAACGCTAAGGCAAACGCTCCGACGGAGATGGAAATTACATTTACCCCTAGCCATTCCACAACTGCAATAGCAACACACAGGCAACATTATTGGATGAGAAAACAGAGGTAGCAAGTTGATATTTGACTGACAAGAACAAGAAAACTAGTTTTCGTCGAATTCCAACACCTTTCGTGGTATCAGATTCAGAGCAGAGATGAAGTCACACTAGAAAAAACCCTAAAGACGGACTCTTTCATATGAAACGTGGTATACCAATTTGATATCCCACAAAAAGGTGATTTACTAGGCCAAAGTTTAGAATTTCCCAGCTCGCCGCAAAGGCGATATACTCTAATCTACGGGGAGGGGGATTCAACTTGGGTGCAAGAGGGCGGGCATTCTGCTGTTAAAAACCATACATTACATCTCAACCTAAAGCATTCAGTTAACAGAAAGAAAAAAACAATATCGAGAGGGATAAGAGAGATTACTTGACCAAATAGTGAACGTAACAACGTAGAAGATGGATTGCGCGTGGGAAGAAGGCATTCCGGGCTCCGATCTCAACGACGGAATTGGCCTCTCCTGGTTCAGTATCCTTTTGAGTATAACAGATAGGATTGAATTTGCAACAGACCCCATTGCAGCCCACAGGGCTTCTCCATCATGCCTCCACAGAATCACCACAGCAAAAAGGGCAGATATAATCCACTTGCTCTGCATCCAACCCAAACCAATCCCTTAACGTCATTCCAACAAAAAATAAAAATGAAAACTAATGAAAAAACTTTAAAAACTTTGAGTCTAACGAAAATGACAAAATAAAGGGTAACGTAAATAGTATCATGATTAGTTTTTTAGTATAAAAATATGATTTTTCGTTAAAATAAACAGTACGAAAGTTTTTCGTTAAAATTCTCAAAATAAAAACCCGACAACTATAAATTTTATACAAAACACTTCGAGGTCGTGCTTTTATTAATTATTAGTTCTAAACTATCGGGTTTGAAACGTTTTTTTTTTATTTATATAAAGTGTAATGTTATCGAGGGCTTCTATGAAAAAAATTGAAAAGAAAACATGAAAGTTGAAACCTACCAGTCGATTGAGTTTCGATTCCAACCCATTATCCACAATCAAAGGACTCAACTCTGAAGGACCATCAATATAATCTTCAGGCTGAATCTCTCCGCCGCTGTCTTCGCCGTCGGCGTTTCGAGAAGGCAGCATCTTTATCAGCTCAA